TCTTCTCTCTCTCTCTCTCTCTCTCTCTCTCTCTCTCTCTCTCTCTCTCTCACGTAACATATTCTTTTGAAGAAATATGCAAAAAAAAGAGACGTGTATTATGAATACAGAATGAAATATCAATAGCTTTAACAACAAACTAATAACAGCTATTCTATGTGACAATAGTAATAATGATGATAAAGATTATGGCTATCCTGTCAGATAAAAGGCAATGCAAATAATGTGATGTTTGTAGATATTTAAGCGTGCATTAATTTCAATAAACAGAGACTTTTATTTTGATTTTCATTTTATATCCTTTAATAAACTAATATCTAAAAAAAAAATAGATGCATATTTGCAATTATCGTATGGAATCGTGACAACCGTGACAAATAATGACGCATTTCCTTATAAAAATTCAATTTAATACTGGCCAATATATTATTAAAAATTACTTATTTTGAGTAATAAAAACATTTTTGTTCAGTGCTTTTTAATGCTTAAAATAAGTAATTAATCACTATTTTTCTAGTATTAAATTTTTGTAAGGGTTGTCTTTTGATAAGAGATCAGCTTAACATTTGCTGAAAGTAATGTGTTACGTCATATTATGTGATATGTAAAAAGAAGAAGAACACTATTTACGGCAGAAATAATGTAATTTCTACTATACGTAAAACTCGTAAATATTCTCCTAAACGAAGAAACGAGAAGTGGAACCGGTTACAGGATCGATGAAGGGATCGAGTGAAAGTGAAGGATTAATTTAGTAAAACCGAGTATGCCGTTTTGTGATCTTATGGTGGGATCCCACCAACGTTTTAAGTTTAGTTCGCCTGCAGTCGATCGAGTACTGCAGTTTCTTACGCGCGGATCTAACTCGCGAACACAAAATATCTTTTTTATCCTTGCGCGACTGTTGTATAAACGGTAAACTGCAGTAAGTCTACAGTTTGTTCCATTATTGCGTAAAAATTGCTCAATCCTCATGTAAAAAGGTTTCAAAGATTTCTTTAGATTATCACTAATGTAATTTTTATCGATCAAATTATGATGTATCCCAAGTAATATTTTGTTGCAAGTTTTCAAGAAAAAAAAAAAAATGTTACTTATAAATTAGTCGAAAGATTTCAATTTCATGAATCTGATAACAATCTGTGACATTAAGAATATTTTATTCTGAGCTCTTCTTGTGTGATACCAAAAAGATGTGTTATTATGAAAAACATAGATAAAAGCATAAATGAATCAATCAAATGGTATAAATATAAAATAAATATAATAAATGGTATAAATATAAATATAAATATAAGAAGAAAAACATGGATGTTACAGTTAAATCGATAATTATTTGGATGTCCGGGAAAATATTATTTATTAAGAATATAAACTGTAAACGTGTAAATACTTTTAATTTTTTTCTATGAAAAATGATCGATATTAACAAAACTTTGTTGTCTCTCGCGTTGATTGAAACAAAGGAACCGACATGAGGAAAATGTATCTCATCGGACACGTTACGATTTTATTCGCACTCTTCTCATCGATTCCCGTTTTTGGATTTCCGGATGGTGGGCCAGTGGATGCGTGCGTGAAGCCACGACCTAATCAACCCTACCATGGTCAGGCACGATCGCAGCCCTTAAACACAAGTCCTTACAAGATACTAGCTTCGTCGTCACAATATAGCCCAGGCTCGCAAGTCACAGGTGGGCGAAATGCACGCAGCCCTTATCTTATTGTGTTATATTATCTATCACCTGGATTTGAGGGTTATTTTTCTTATGAAGTAAAGTAAAATTTTCATTACTGAAGTCTATTGCCAAGTGGGAAGTAGCATGGATAAAATAGAGAGAAGTAGTAATTTTAATCAAATTATATTGCGCCATATCAGAGTCTTTATGGAATATACAAGGGAGGATTAATATATATATTAGCACTTATATGTGTGTGTATTTATATATGTCTGTATGTGTGGAGCTATTAACAAGAAGATAGATACATGCAAGAAAGAAAGTTGCGATCTCATAATTAAATAGAAAAGAAAAGTATAAAAAAAAATATACAGATTTATAAAATTGTAAAATTAATATTGATAATGTTGAAAATTTAAGAAAGTTGAATATATTTGTAATATTTTGACAGGAACCATCCATTCTACAAAAGAAATTTATTTGAAATTCTTCAAAGACATAATTACAGTTATTAATGTTAGAAAGTGTATTAGAAAGTGCTTTAATTAGTATAAATTCAGGAAGCCATTATTTCAAAAATGCGTGGACGCTAAGCCATGCAACCAAATTATTGGTTCTTTTCTATAATATATCTTTATCATTTATACATATAATATTCTTTTTGAACTACGTACTAATAATAACAACAAGTAACAAGCTTTGCAAAGTTTAATTTCAACAATTTCCCGATTGTTGTAGACTACAGTAGAAGATAAGAAAATTATGATTATGAATTATTACGCAATGATGTAAAATATTGTTTTTCAAATGTGACAGATTAAAAGAAGTATATTTTATATAAAAGAAAACACACAACACACAAAGTAAGAGCATAATACAGTACATCGCTTTCGTTCTCTCTCATTCTCTCTCCTCCTTTTTTCATCTCTTTATAGATTCTTGTCGCGTAACATTTAACAGAACTCAAAATACAAATTTATATTATGTATAAAAAAAAAATGTACATAATTGTTTTATCTTTGTCAAGGAAATATGTGTTTTGTCCAATACGAGACAATTTATCAAGATCATAACTGCGAAATAAATGTTGAATATCTGTAATGATATTAGCACGGTTGAGTGCACGTATCTAGATTTATAAAACAATTAGGTAAATTAGGTTAATGAAAGGCCCTCATGCATTTTCGAACGTGCGAATAGTTGCGTGCATAAAATATCACGCGTGATTAAACGTAGATGTCATTCATCCGCAAAAGAAGGTTGAAACGAAAGTCTGATAATTTATGAGTAGTTATGCAATGAGACTTTGGAAACTTACATTATGCAGTGAATACGTGTTAATTAATTTCTATGATGCCATAATGTGGAGATTTTATTGAAAATCCTTATATTTAATTTTAAATAAATTCGTTTTTTTCAAGATATCAAGTGCAAATTTTTGAAATAATTTGAAACAAAGTAAGCATAACTTGCACTTTCAAAAAGAGAAAGATTAAAATGTGTAAGTGATAATATGTAAAAAAATATAATTTTATTTATAAATTTACGCTAAATTTATCTGTCGTAAATTAATTTATTATTTTAGATAAACGAGAAAATCCCATAATTTTACATAAATTTCAGTCGAATACTAATTATAAAGATTTTATTTTATTTATGTTATTTTTATTTGATTATTTATAAATTAGATATATTCATGACAAATATTAATAAAACTAATATGAAAAAACGAAATAACTGAGGTTGAATTCAGTCTTTTCGAAATTCAAAACATTTCATCGAATAAATGCGAAAAATCATAAAACGTTAATATATTATATTAATTTATTACAATATTGTTTAAGCAATTAATGTAACTTGATGTTTTTTAAAATTCTAGTATGCTATCTAATAAATAGTTAGATGTATAACGTAAAAGTTGAAGCATTTCCAAGCTAATGTAAATAGATTTTAATTATTGCTTCAACTGGTATAATCTTTTCACGAATTTCCTCTTTTAATCTTTCTCTCTTTTCTTTCTGCAATTTATCCCATTCCAATTTACTAACATACATTTCCTGCGAGGTTTCCCGTTGAGAGAGTTGATATAAATTGACATACCGCGAGCATTACGTGCGACTAGCTGCCATTTCATTTATACTTTCAATCACTTTGCCGATATTCGCGCGTGATTATCTCGGACACGTAAATTCACGTGCGCCACGACAACGGGTGCTATATTAAATATAAATTGCAAACGCAGATATAGCATTGTATGGCGATAAGAGGCAGAAATTCGAATTTTATCTGAACGTGATAGCGTCAGCTTTTTATCGGAGTCGGCCCATCTATTTTTCAGTCACCATAGAAGGTGCCCCATTCAAGGGATTCTTCCTGCAGGCGCGTGATACCAATACGAACAAATGGATCGGATCCTGGACGCGTACGCCAAACACGAATATACATTCCGAGTGTAGTGCCGTGACGCATGCAGATCCGCGTGATAAGGAGCAGGCCACCTTTATCTGGAACGCACCGGCGAACGAACGTGGCAACGTTTATTTCACGTACGTATCACGCTTTCGTGTAGCGGAAGCAACCGCATGGGAGATTGCTTGCGACGAAGAAGGACGATGTCGCAAGGAGATATGTCGCAAATTACCGTTGTTGAGACTTGCATTGTCCGTATAATTATCATCCTTTCCTCGCAAGATAT